CGGTCTGGTCGACCGGATCACGTGGTAACCGGTCGACCGGATTGCATTGGCCTGACCAGTCGACTTGTCCAGTCGACCGGAGTGCACACCACCGGTCGACCGGTGGTAATGCACTATTCTGTCACCGGTCGACCGGTTGACACGGGGTTTGACCCTGTTTGGCCTGAAATTACTGTTTTGACCCATGTTTTCGGGGAGAACCCAAATTAGCTTCATTTAGGGACTTGAGATGAATGGATTAACATCTTTAATCCTTGTTTTGAGATTAAAAACCCTTGGAATGATCATTTAAAACATGAAAATGGATTAGGGCACACTAATAGGAAATCTTGGTTGGAAATTGAGATTGGATTGCTTTAGGAATGAGAATTAATTCTAAAGTGTTGTCTTGCATCAGTGATCGCTGAGGATTCAGACTGAAGGGGCTTGAGGAAGCGGAAGCCGGAAAAGGCAATGCTAGTCCCAGGTTTGATAGTGTGAGTTAGGATTTCTATCCCTTTTCCTTGTGAGCTTGTTTTCAAAAAGGATTTCGGCCTTAGAAATGTTTTAAAAGAAAGGGGTTGGTGTGCGAAAGAAAAACTCTTTAAAAACCATGGCTTGTGCAGTTTATGGAATCCATGGATTGTCCTGTCCATGGAATCCATAGCTTGTCCAGTCATGGAACCTCATGGCTTGCCCAGTCATGGGGCCCGCGGCTTGAGTAGTTCGTGGGGTCATAATAACGATTTCAGAAAGTTAATGAATGATCTCTTAAACTAAGAGATCTTGTGAACTGGTAAGAGAGTCTATTGCTGTAAGCCTAGATAGGATGCAGATGGTGCATCCTCGAGGGCAGAACCTGAAACTCAGTTCGGGTAGGCGAGGCACTTGGTTAGGTAAGTAATTTATACTAATTACTTGCTTTAGCCTGTAATACAGTTATTTTCAGTTATATTTCCTTTGAGAAAAAGGATGTGAGGTTCTGACTGTCTGTTGGAACTGAATGTCTATTTATTCATTTACCCATTTATTTATTTACTCGCACATCTATATATTCATTTACCTTTAAGTCATTTCAAATTATATCATACTGGGCCTTTCGTTCACGTTTTATGTTTTAAATGTGTTAAACCCTTCCCAGGAGATTCTAGGAGCGGTGCACAGTAGCTGGATATTTGCTACGGAGCAGCTGAGTTGTGTTGTTGTTGGAATCAAGTGAGGATTATGGTCATCCTCTGGAACAAAATGTAAGGAATTGAGAATTCTGTAAACTCTAGAAATATTTGGATTAACTAGATTGTGGTTGATGTCTGTTGTAATGATTATTTACATGTGCATGTATGTACGATATTGTATGTCCTGTAGGTGGAGCCCTGTGTGTTGTCAGAGGCTCGAGATTTTATAATTTATTTATATTTTACTTCAGTCAAGTACGGCTCGTTTGGGAATCTACTCTATTAACCCATAATCGAGCTCCATGTCACCCATCTCGTTTGGGGGACGTGACAGTTATCCGCACTGTTAATATGGTGTGATATTGAATAAGTGTATTACGCATAATAAGATTATGTGGTACAAGGACACAGACACAATATGAATTTCTAATAATTTCTGTTAAGTATAGAAATTCTAATTGAGTCTACCGATGGTCATATATAGAATGATCTTAATCCTGAGTTCTTAACAAACTCCTATTTATGGATTTGTGTCTTTTGATTTACTCGGTACGAATTTCGAGACCCTAAATCTTATTCCTTGTATTTTGGAGACATGATGAAATAGGTAGCCG